CGGTTAGCCGCGGAACACACTGCTGCCATTGTTGAAGAAGTTGACCAGTTGCTTGATGCCGTGGCAATCCGCGAAGTAACCTATCCTACATGGCTGTCGAATACTGTGGTTGCAAAGAAGAAAAATGGAACTTGGCATGTTTGTGTGGATTTCACGGACTTAAACAAAGCTTGTTCCAAGGATTGTTTTCCCCTTCCCAGAATAGACCAACTTGTCGATGCAACGACACATCATCAACGTATGAGCTTCCTGGATGCATATAGAGGCTACCATCAAATTGTCATGTATCCAGAGGACCAAGACAAAACTGCATTCCTTACCCCAAAAGGAACCTATTGCTATAAGGTTATGCCTTTCAAACTGAAGAATGCGGGGGCAACCTACCAAAGACTAGTCATTGCCATGTTCAAGGAGCAACTCGGCCATACTATGGAAGTATACATCGATGATATGGTGGTCAAGTCCAGAGAAGAGCAAACACATCTAGCCGATCTGGAAGAAACATTCGGCATTCTTTGCAAATACAAAATGAAGCTGAACGTTTCCAAATGTGCCTACGGCATTGGATCCGGCAAATTCCTTGGCTACATTGTTAACCACCGCGGAATCGAAGCCAACCCGAGGCAAATCACAACAATTCTAGAACTCAGTTTTCCTCGGTCGGTCAAAGAGGTTCAGAAGCTAATGGGAATGGCAGCCACACTCAACAGATTCATTAGCCGTTCTACGGATCACTGCTGACAATTCTTTCATACTTTTCGGCAGGGTAAAGCTTTTGAATGGACCACCGAGTGTGAAGCTACTTTGGACGGTTTGAAGACTTACCTCTGATCAGCCCCACTCTTGACAACACCTTCGGCAGGTGATCCGCTCATTTTATATCTGGCAGTTTCTGATCGGGTCGTTAGCGCCGTATTGTTAAATGAAGAACTAGGGGAGCAACGACCAGTTTGTTATGCGAGCAAATCAATGGTTGATGCCGAAACACACTACCTTCCATTGGAAAAACTTGTCCTTGCTCTCGTCATGGCAGTGGGACAACTGATGCATTACTTTCAGGGGCATACCTTGGGGTACTAACGGACTACCCCCTCCACTCAGTACTCTGTAGTCCAAAAGCTTCAGGGCGCATTTCAAAGTGGGCTCTCGAACTCGGCTAGTATGATATTCAATTTCTGCCCAAAACCTTAATCAAGGGGCAAGTGCTCGCTAACTTTGTGGCCAAATTCACCGGATGTCTCGCCGACTTTAAGTCTGATCAAATTCAACCTAAGCTGAGCTGGAGAATTTACGTTAGGGACATTTGGCAGTTGTATTGTGACGGCTCATCCAACCAACATGGCAGTCTGGCGGGCGTAGTGATCATGGCTCCCGACGGGGCAATAATCGAGCAGGCTGTCAAACTGGACTTCGAAGTATCGAACAATGAGGCTGAATACGAAGCATTGTTAACCAGCTTACGAAACACACATCTCCTTGGTGCACGGCGTCTGTTTGTCTTCTGCGACTCAAAGCTAGTTATCAACAAATTAAAGGGGGAATATGCATCCAAAAATGACTGTATGGCAGCTTACATGAAAACGACGAATTCTTTGTTGGCAAAATTTGACCATCATGAATTAAATCAAATAACCTGGAATCAGAACACATATGCAGACGCCCTGGCCTGCCTAGCCTCCACCATCAACTCAGAAATTAAGTGCACAATTGAAGTAGGATTCATCCCTGAGCCGAGCATTGCCCCTTCAGAGTCAATTCAAATAAATATCGTAGAATCAAGTCCAAGTTGGATGGATCCCATCACTGCATTTGTATCTTCCGAACAGCTCCTGACGGACAAGAAAGAAGCACACAAATTGCGAAACAAAGCCCTGCGATATTATTTAGATTCGCAGGGAAAGCTCTACAAAAAATCCCTTTCTGGTCTATACCTAGAATGTGTTCATCCAGATAAAGACGAAGAACTCTTGACTGAAATACACGAAGGTAGTTGCGGTGCCCATTCTGGTAGGAGTTCTTTGGCTCATCGAGCTGTAACACAGGGGTACTACTGGCCGACCATGAGAGCTGATGCCGAGTGTTATGTCAAGAAATGTGAACAGTGTAAGAGGTTTTCCTCTTTAACCCATTTGCCTGCTGAGGAGTTGAGCTCAATCACCAGTCCTTGGCCGTTTGCTCAAGGGGGGCTTGATATCATCTGGCCATTGCCACAGGCCCCAAGGAACAAGCGATTCTTGATTGTCGCGACAGATTACTTCACAAAATGGGTCGAAGCGAAGGCACTAACACACATTCGAGATACTGATGTGAAGCGTTTTGTATAGAGAAATATCATAACACGATTCAGCATTCCAAGAGCACTTATTTTAGATAACGGCACCCAATTTGATTGTAGCGTCTACCGAAAATTGTGCAGCAAGTATGGTATACGGCCCTATTTCTCCACCTCTGTTTATCCACAGAGCAATAGTTAAGCTGAAGCCTCCAACAAAGCCATTTTGGACGACATCAAGAAACAGTTAGAGAAAGCTAAAGGAAAGTGGGTTGAAGAGCTCCCCAGTGTGTTGTGGGCTCATCACACTACACCAAGGCGATCAACTGGAGAAACGCTGTTCGCCCTATGCTTTGGGACTCAGGCAATTGTCCCCCTGGAGATCGGCCTACCCATTCTGAAAACGAAGGTCTTTGACTTGGGCCGTAACGACATGATGCTAGCTTTGGATCTAACTCTGATTGAAGAACGACGAGACCGAGTCCTCACGTCTATGGCACGGTATCAACAACAGCTCGCTAAAGCATACAATCAACGTGTGCATCTACGACGTTATATACCCGGAGAACTGGTCCTAAAAAAAGCTATTCCCGCTACTAAGAACCCCGCTGATGGAAAGCTAGGTCCCAATTGGGACGGCCCCTATCAAATTGAGTCAATTGCCGGCACAAGGGCATATCGGCTCAAAGACATGTCTGGGAAGAGTCTGCCACGCCCTTGGAATTCCACGCATTTGCGTAAATTCTATCATTAACCCTACTTGTGGGGCATGATACTTGATTTGAATGTTCACCATCTACAAATTTCATTTTTGCAATGCAAAATCTCTTATTTTCTCACTGTGAAATTTAGTTCATCAAGTTATAAGCCTCCGGATTCGGAGTGCCCTTCGTAGATATCACGATTGCCCAAGATATAAGCCTCCAGATTCGGAGCCCCATCCGTGCAAGACACGCTTGGGCCGAATAAGTCTCCGAATTCGGAGCACCCTTCGTGGATATCATGATTGGCCAAGATATAAGCCTCCAGATTCGGAGCCCCATCCGTGCAAGACACGCTTGGGCCGAATAAGTCTCCGAATTCGGAGCACCCTTCGTGGATATCATGATTGGCCAAGATATAAGCCTCCAGATTCGGAGCCCCATCAGTGAATGACATTTTTGGGCCGAACAAGTCTCCGGATTCGAAGCGCCCTTCGTGGATATCACGATAGGCCAAGAGATGAGCCTCCGGATTCGGAGCCCCATCAGTGAATGACACTTTTGGGCCGAACAAGTCTCCGAATTCGGAGCACCCTTCGTGGATATCACAATAGGCCGAGAGATAAGCCTCCGGGTTCTGAGCCCCATCCGTGTAAGACACACTTGGACCGAATAAGTCTCCGAATTCGGAGCGCCCTTCGTGGATATCATAATTGGCCAAGATATAAGTCTCCGGATTCGGAGCCCCATCAGTGAATGACACTTTTGGGCCGAACAAGTCTCCGAATTCGGAGCACCCTTCGTGGATATCATGATTGGCCAAGATATAAGCCTCCAGATTCGGAGCCCCATCCGTGCAAGACACGCTTGGGCCGAATAAGTCTCCGAATTCGGAGC